GTGTCGGTGTTGGTGTTGGGTGTTGTTTTTGTTATTGTTGTTGTTGTTGTTGTTGTTGTTGTTGTTGCTGCTGCTGCTGCTGCTGTTGTTGTTGTTGTTGTTGTTGTTGTTGTTGTTGTTGTTGTTGTTGTTGTTGTTGTTGTTGTTGTTGTTGTTGTTGTCGTTGTCGTTGTTGTTGTTGTTGTTGTTGTTGTTGTTGTTGTTGTTGTTGTTGTTGTTTTTTTCTTCTTTTTTTTTTTCCGGGGGGTTTTGCGACCAGCAAACGAGAAGCTTAGATGGACAAACGATACACCTTGCATCGGGGGGTTGCGACCCTGTATTTACCAACCTGGGGGCCCTATGATTTCGTGGCCCGCAGAAAGATGTTACCGACAGGTTTGAAGGATGTTATGTGTGTATTTATCCTTGGCGGCAAATTATACCTTGCACCGTGTAGGAGCCCTTGGCTCAGTCGGGTTGGGAGTTTGACACCGGGCACCAAGGCTTCTGGCATGCTGCTGCGCGAGCAGCGCGAGAGAAAGGCGGGCGGACGGCGTCGCGCGCGCGGATGGGCGGGGTCTTCCGCTGGCAGCTTTGCTGCTTCTGAGAGGTCGGTCAATTCAATCCTTACTGTTTGGTTGTTGCTTGGAGGCTGTCGACATCGATGTCGGCACGATATCGAGTGCAGAGCTTGATGGTGCACAGGGTTTCTGCGGGTGCGACAGTTGCTACGACACTACGTGTGAGGCAGTGGCATTTTTCTTTTTTGGCCATGGCTTGTTGCCCAAGCAGGTCCTGTTTAAATCAGCCGCTAGGAAGGCCCTGATGTTCCTTCCGTGCAGGGCCGCAAGGAGGAGGTGACCATCAGGCCGGGCCTCGCCATTTGTGACACGACCTGAAGCAACCTGGTTTTGCACCTGGCGGGTCTTTGGCGTGACATGTGTGCCCGAATCGCCCCTTCGGCCGGAAACAGCCGGGTTTCCCATTGAGCCTACAAAAGGTGAGCGACCTCTTGCTAAGGCTCAGGGCCCCCGATTCCGTGCTTGAAAGGCCAAAGACTGCCCCTGCATGCTGTTCGAAGACAACACGTGCAAAGAAAGAATATATTCTTTGGATGCTTTTCTGAGGCTGTTGCCCAGCAGGCTTGCCAAACGCAGGGTGGTGGATGATGTTACCCGACTCTGAAACACCATCCTCGCTTGAGGAATAGATGCTGGCAAAGCGGACAAAACACTTGCTGTGCCTCGCATCAGCCCAACGGGACAAAAGAGAATTCTTTGCCTGTTATTCATCCTTTGTAGGATTTGCTGGAGGGGGAAGCCTGCCACTGAGCAGCTAGGCCACAGATTGTGCTGCTCTTCATGGCCAACCCTCGCAAGGGCATGATCCTTCAACAAGAAGCTACCAAATGTCGGAAAACTTGGACCTGCCCCGCAAACACGGACAGCCACCACAGTGTGAATGAACGTTGATCCTCATTGTCATCCACTGCAAGTTCGTGCCAACATCGCGTGAAAGTGCGCAAAGCCACCGTCAGTGGGCAGGGGCAAGGTCCAATGTGCCGTGTTGCTGGGGCTTGGGAGAGTTGCAGCAGTTGGGCACTGCTCAGAGGCTCATTTCCCCGGCCTCTGGTTGCTTGGAAGCCACAGGGCTGAGCTCGTGAACATCCCGGGCCCGCTCTGCCAGTTTCTGCTGGAGCCCACAGGCCAGGGAAGAAGAGCGGCAGAAAAGCGGCAGGAGGGCTTGGTTGCTGCCTTTGTGCGCGCAAGAGCGCGCGCGCGTGCATTTAGTGTTGTTTGTGCAGTGGGCAGCTGCCCAGTTGCCTCCGCGCTAAATTGTTTTCTTATCCACCAGGCTTCGAAATTTGGCATGGCGGCGCTTTCAAGGGTAGCAATTCAACACAGAACAAGTTCCCAAATCAAGCAAGCACCCTTGCTGAGCAAGCACCAGCGCGCCAGGCATATTGGAAGCCCAAGCCTATGCCAAAGGCATGGGGGGCGCTGCGGTGCCGAAGGCGGGATGGAGGGGGGCTTGGAGGACAGGGCGCGCGCACGCCCGCCCGCCCGTCCGCCTGCACACACACACACAGACAAGCGGGCGGGCGGGCGGGCGGGCGGGGCGGGCGGGGGTGGGTGCGCCTGTCTAACTGCGGCATCAGGATTGTGCAGAAGGGCTCCTCCAGGGGCAGTCTCAACATCCGCCAGCCATATGCGTCTGCATGATTGTGTTTGTGTGCTTTGTTGCCTCAGCTTTGACCTAAACTGCCGATCAATGACATCAATCAAATAAACCTTTTGCGTAATTCAACACGCACTCGACCTCTCTGTGCTTGCCAGGGCTGACCAAGCCCCATAGCCGGGGCCTCCCCATCCTTCATAGCCAGGGCTTACTTCCAGCACTCGACCCCCCCAAAGGCCCGAAGTAGTGCAGGACAAGGCCGCGGTGATGCTCCGATGGAGCGCCCACGGCGCGGCGTCCTTCTGGCTGAGCTGCACCGGCTCCAAGCAAGGCGGGAGGTGTGGGTTTGCGGTACCTCCCTGCAAGCCGAGCTTGGGTTGCCTAACAGCAGGTAGGGCCGCTTCAGCAATTCTCATGGTTGAGAACCAACAAAGTTAAACGGTGCTATGTTCAGGATGCCCTTGCACTCTGGTTTTGCATCCTTTTGCTTTTTCGCTTCCTTCCATTTCGACTTTCCGCTGACTCGTTCTCCTGCCCTTGGGCTGGATTTGGGCTCTGAAGTCAAAGAACGCGGCAGCGTTTGGCACGTTTTCGATCTTGGGTCCCAATAAATCTTCCCGCATTTAGCCCACGTGACCGTGGCTGGAAGGTCGCATTGCATGGTGGATGTGCCGGAACCCTCCAAAGAATGTGGCAGGGCGATCTTTCGGGTAAGGCAAAACACCCGGTTCCTGGGACTATGCAAAATGTACCACAAGGGACCCATCTCAACAGTCCTGGGCCGCAATTGGATACAAATAGCCATCCGGCATGGGTGCGGGCAAACCCCATCTTTCACTGTGGTCTGGTTTCGGGCTGAATGGTTTGGGTGAGCAGGGGAGCCCCCCACCGTTCAATGATTATGTCGAAGTTGGATGCACGCATACTAGCAGACAGATGACGAGCCTGAAGTGCATTGCACACCAAGTTGTGATGATATACGAGGCATTTGTCTGATTAGGCTTGGCGAATTGAATGCTTGCTTTCTCCGTTGGTGCGGCCAGTGCTTAATGATGAGACAGATGACGAGCCTGAAGTGCATTGCACACCAAATCGTGATGATATACGAGGCATTTGTCTGATTAGGCTTGGCGAATTGAATGCACCATCGAAGTGCTTGCTTCCTCAGATACGAGGTGTTGATGCAAAGAATCAGCTTTGTACCTTAGGTTTGCCAAGTGTGGTGCGTTAAGGTGTGGTTTTGTCATCTTTTTCGGATGCGTGGCCAGTCTGTAGTGATGAGACAGATGACGAGCCTGAAGTGCATTGCACACCAAATCGTGATGATATACGAGGCATTTGTCTGATTAGGCTTGGCGAATTGAATGCGCCATCGGATTGCTTGTTTTCTCCGTTGATGGACAAGCATCATTTTGGCTTTGGTTTGCCAAGTGCGATGAGTTAAGGTGTGGTTTTGTCATCTTTTCAGATGCGTGGCCAGTGCTTAGTGATGAGACAGATGACGAGCCTGAAGTGCATTGCACACCAAATCGTGATGATATACGAGGCATTTGTCTGATTAGGCTTGGCGAATTGAATGCACCACGCACTGCTTACTTGCTTGCTTGCTTGCTTGCTTGCTTGCTTGCTTGCTTGCTTGCTTGCTTGCTTGCTTGCTTGCTTGCTTGCTTGCTTGCTTGCTTGCTTGCTTGCTTGCTTGCTTGCTTGCTTGCTTGCTTGCTTGCTTGCTGCGTTGATGGACAAGCAGCTCTTGGTCCTTGGTTTGCAAAGTGTCGTGAGTTAAGGTGTGGTTTTGTCATCTTTTTGGATGCGTGGCCAGTGCTTGGTGATGAGACAGATGACGAGCCTGAAGTGCATTGCACACCAAATTGTGATGATATACGAGGCATTTGTCTGATTAGGCTTGGCGAATTGAATGCACCATCGCACTGCTTGCTTTCTCCGTTGGTGCGGCCAGTGCTTAATGATGAGACAGATGACGAGCCTGAAGTGCATTGCACACCAAATCGTGATGATATACGAGGCATTTGTCTGATTAGGCTTGGCGAATTGAATTCACCATCGACTGCTTGCTTTCTCCGCATGATGGACAAGCAGCTCTTGGTCGTTGGTTGGCCTAGTGTGGTGCGTTAAGGTGTGGTTTTGTCATCTTTGGGATGCGCGGCCGGTGCTTAGTGATGAGACAGATGACGAGCCTGAAGTGCATTGCACACCAAATTGTGATGATATACGAGGCATTTGTGTGATTAGGCTTGGCGAATTGAATGCACCATCGAAGTGCTTGCTTCCTCCGTTGATGCGGCCAGTGCTTAATGATGAGACAGATGACGAGCCTGAAGTGCATTGCACACCAAATCGTGATGATATACGAGGCATTTGTCTGATTAGGCTTGGCGAATTGAATGCACCATCGGATTGATTGTTTTCTCCGTTGATGGACAAGCAGCGTTTTGGCTTTGGTGTGCCAATGGTGGTGCGTAAAGGTCTGGTTTTGAGATCTTTTCGGAGGTGCGGCCAGTGCTTAGTGATGAGACAGATGACGAGCCTGAAGTGCATTGCACATCAAATCGTGATGATATACGAGGCATTTGCCTGATTAAGCTTGGCGAATTGAATGCACCATCGAAGTGCTTGCTTCCTCCGTTGATGCGGCCAGTGCTTAATGATGAGACAGATGACGAGCCTGAAGTGCATTGCACACCAAATCGTGATGATATACGAGGCATTTGTTTGATTAGGCTCGGCGAATTGAATGCACCATCGAAGTGCTTTGTTATTGTGGTAGGAGGTGCGTACCTCTTTTCGACTGATCATTGTTGACTGCCGAAGCTGACCAGGGACCATTTCCGCGACATATTGTGGGACGATGGGCGAGGTGACCAAGGGGCATGATTTGTGAATCTGCAAGCTTTGCTGCTTGTGGCAGTTGTAGGGCGGCATAGACGGGCCCGGCATGAGGTGGAGTGATGCCGCCACAAAGACCGGCGGACGTGCACTGTACGACTGGCGAGGCATGAATCTGCTTACCAAAGCTGACCAAGGGACATGATTTGTGAATCTGACGTTGCTGCTTGTGGCAGTTGTAGGGCGGCATAGACGGGCCCGGCATGAGGTGGAGTGATGCAGCAACAAAGACCATCGGACGTGCACTGTACGACTGGCGAGGCGTGAATCTGCTTACCAAAGCTGACCAAGGTGCATGCTTTGTGAATCTGCAAACTTTGCTGCTTGTGGCAGTTGTAGGGCGGCATAGACGGGCCCGGCATGAGGTGGAGTGATGCAGCCACAAAGACCGTCGGACGTGCACTGTACGACTGGCGAGGCGTGAATCTGCTTACCAAAGCTGACCAAGGGGCATTTGTGAATCTGTGGGGCGTTGCTGCTTGTGGCAGTTGTAGCACGGTAAAGGGGTGAGGATGGTGAGGTAAAGTGGAGTGATGCAGACACAAAGACCGTCGGACGTACATGGTGCGCTTGGCGAAGCATGAATCTGCTTACCAAAGCTGACCAAGCAGCATTTGTGAATCTGTGGGGCGTTGCTGCTTGTGGCAGTTGTGGCACGGTAAAGGGGTGAGGATGGTGCTGCTTGTGGCAGTTGTAGCGCGTCAAAGGAGGGTGAGGTAAAGTGGAGTGATGCAGACACAAAGACCATCTGACGTACATGGTGCGCTTGGCGAAGCATGAATCTGCTTACCAAAGCTGACCAAGGGGCATTTGTGAATCTGTGGGGTTTGTGAATCTGTGGGGCGTTGCTGCTCGTGGCAGTTGTAGCACGGTATAGGGGTGAGGATGGTGAGGTAAAGTGGAGTGATGCAGACACAAAGACCATCGGACGTACATGGTGTGCTTGGCGAGGCATGAATCTGCTTACCAAAGCTGACCAAGGGGCATTTGTGAATCTGTGGGGCGTTGCTGCTTGTGGCAGTTGTAGCACGGTAAAGGGGTGAGGATGGTGAGGTAAAGTGGAGTGATGCAGACACAAAGACCATCGGACGTACGTTGTGCGCTTGTCGAGGCATGAATCTGCTTACCAAAGCTGACCAAGGGGCATTTGTGAATCTGTGGGGCGTTGCTGCTTGTGGCAGTTGTAGCACGGTAAAGGGGTGAGGATGGTGAGGTAAAGTGGAGTGATGCAGACACAAAGACCATCGGACGTACGTTGTGCGCTTGTCGAGGGATGAATCTGCTTACCAAAGCTGACCAAGGGGCATTTGTGAATCTGTGGGGCGTTGCTGCTTGTGGCAGTTGTAGCACAATAAACGGGTGAGGATGGTGAGGTAAAGTGGAGTGATGCAGACACAAAGACCATCGGACGTACGTTGTGCGCTTGTCGAGGCATGAATCTGCTTACCAAAGCTGACCAAGGGGCATTTGTGAATCTGTGGGGCGTTGCTGCTTGTGGCAGTTGTAGCACAATAAACGGGTGAGGATGGTGAGGTAAAGTGGAGTGATGCAGACACAAAGACCATCGGACGTACGTTGCATGACGCTCGCGCTACTGTTGGCCTCTGCCCGCAGGCAAAGGATCCTCGCTCGGCGCTGAGGGGACAATCGGTGCTCCGCCCCCGAAGGCCGAGTTTTTGTCGGGGAGGTTGCTGGTCACTGCAACTGCTCCTGCTTGGCCTGTGGCAACGGGTCTTCACTTGTTTCGCGCTGTGTAACTGCTGTTTGGGATGTCCTTACTTTTCGGCCTAGCCTGAACGCTGGTACCCGTCCTTTAGAAGCTGATGACCTGAATTCCTGTTGGTCACAAAGCCGTTTCAAGAGGATGGTAGTCTTTCCAGACCTGTCCACAATCCGTGATTGTTGGAAGAGGCTGTAAAGGCCGCCCCTCTCGCCTCAGGCTGGAGCTCGTTTTTTCAACCTCGCGATTTTCCCGCGACAGCTTTGCCAGGGCCCCAGTGGCGCAGCATCGCGTTTGGCCTGGTTCAAACACGCCAGTCTTGCGCGGCGCAAATCAGAAGGATGGCCGAACAAAGGAACATGCCTCATGTGTTTGCGGCTTGGGTGCCCTGGTTTGTTGGGTTCGGCATCTTCCGGCTTAGCTCCGGAAGGGGATGTTTTGGAAGAGGTAGATGTGGGAGGCAGCTTGCGACCCGGCGCCTTGAGGTTTTAGAGAACTTGGAAGGCTCGAGCTTCCTCAAAGATTGCGAAGTGGCCATGCCGGCCCGTTGACAGAAGGTGGCGGGGGGGGGGGGCGGGGTGTTTACCTCCATGTTACATGTCCCAGTTCAGTGATTTCAAACATCACTGTTTGGGCCAATCTCAGGTGTCCTTTGGGTAGGGTGATGTGTAGGGAACCCTGTTGCCGTGAGCTTTGGCATCCATCGACTTCGGCTGGGTTTAGCCGGAGCAGCTTCGGCTGGGCCGGCCACCGTCCACCTTGCGTGTGCTCCGTGCGGAGCAGGGGATGCGTATTGATTCCGACACATGGGCACATGTAGATCCCAAGCCAGCGTATGTCAATGACACTGGGCCTGTTCCTGGCAGCCAGCCGTGGTCAAGTTGGCATGGAGGCGCTACACTTGTTGCAGGTACACCAGCGGAAAGTGACTAAACACATGCCGGCTGCGTGCAAATGCGGCAAGCTGCCCTTTTCGGCAGTGAACACCACAAATCGTTGCTATCAGTGACCTTGCCTAAAAGGCCTGAAGTCCTTCTGCGTGATGTTTTGTGGCCATTTGTTGAACAGATCCACCTCTTGCTAGAGTAGTGAGTGCGCCCAGGGACAGGGACAAGTATTGCAGGGCGCCAGCTGAAGGAGCAGCTTCTAAAGTGGCATGGGCGTGGTGCTGTTTTCTCTTTCCGTTTGTCGAATTTGGTTCTAATTGGCCAGAATGCCTTGGTGGTAATTTGCCGGAGTTGCTTCGGACAGGCAGTTGGACCAGATGCCTGCGGGCAAGCAAATGAGTTCCAACAGCCCCACTGGCCCACCATAGGTTAGCTTGTTGTTGCATGATGCAACTGTTAGTAACTACTTGTGTAAATGTAAATGAGCTTCTGAAAAGCACGAAGAATGAGAAGAGCAGACAAGAGGCATTGCCTTTCATGTGGCGTACACAGTCCGTGGAGCTATCCGTATGCGATCGGAGTTGCAGAGTTCAGCGGCAGCCAGGTGAACGAGCACCGCTTCGCGCTGCGCAACATGACCCCACGCTGCGCTGAGTTCGGAGATGTGGGCGTGGCAGGTTATATCTGCACGCAGTGCCACTGGGCTGAAGGCTACCTGCCCCTGGCTCCCCAACCATTCTCCCGACTGGATCCCTTGACCTGAGGGCTGAAGTAACGCCGCATCGGCGGCAGAGAGCTGATCATGGGCCAAGAGGCTTTTCGTCGCGCTTCGCGTTTCGTGATTGCAAAGGGATCCGGCTCACTTTTTTGTTCGGGGGAACCATCCGCCATTGATTTACCAGGTTGATTAATCGGGGACATTGCAAGTGCCTTGGCTGAGGCGAGCACGCCATCTCGGCTTCTGGGCAGCAGTTTGGTTGGAGTCCTTTCAGACTTTGCTTAGCATGTGGAATGTTTTACTTGCAACCTTCGGTTTCCCCGGTTTGGCCAGGGTGCTGGTCCAGAAAGCCCCTGGAGGAAACCCACAAATGAAGCACTTTTTGAGGGCGCCCTTACTTGCACATGGGCAGATGTGAATTGATGCAACCATTTGTGGGGGTGCCCTCAGAACAACCAAGGTCCGTTGGTTTATATTACATCTTGGCAGGCCCATGTCTAGCCGTCTGAGGACATGATTTTCTTCCTCACGGACTCCCGGCATTGGCGCCAGGCGGAGCTGTCCACAAAGATGCCGTCGCATCCGAAAAGTCTTTGATTGTTGAGGGAATTCTGGCAGATCTGCTCACAAGAGAGTTCTTGCCATCCACACACCCGAGCTGGCTTAAGCTGGGGGAGAGCCCCTGGATGACCATCAGAAACCTGGGGCCATTGGCTGCTGACCTGCACTGTCTCGTCGCATGTCGCGGCCGTTTCCCAGACCTCCATTGGTGCCTTTCCATTCCCGTTTTGGAGCGGCCAACGCGGCCAAATCGGGACACATGATCTACCAACAGCCAAGCTCATGGCTTTGTCTCATGCGCCATCCTTTTTTGCAGGCAGACCTTTGGACTCAAAAGTAGCGCCCCAATGTTTCCCCAGGCCGCGGAGAGGCCGGACCCCCTGTCGGAGCCGTGGCTATCACTGCCCTCCCGGCAGCATGCGCCTTGGAGCTGCCTACGTGGAGAAACGCCGTTTTGGTTCGGTTTACTGTTGGTGGACGAGTGGGGGGCCACTGACATGTCTCAAAAAGGGGGAGTCCTAGAGAAGAAAGCCAAAGCATCAGCCCTGTCACGGGGGGGGCATGACTTGTCCGCCAGGAAACGCAAGCATTCAACAACAAAACCAGCGCTCACAGCAAAATTCGACCGCCAAAAGCAGATGTGGCGAACCAGCATAAAGTTGGGCTTGTGAGTTGGGCAAGTGCTGTGGAGGTCTGCTTGAGATGATTCTCCTCAGGGTACACGGCCTGGGCAGGTTGGGAAAGCAGAGATGACTAGACCTTTGGCGGGGTCCCTTAAAGCGGTTCCAACTATGAGGGTTCACATGGGTTCACTGTTTTTTTGCCGTGGGGGGCCCGGGGTTCCCCCAGAATTCCTCCATTCAGGGTGTATGTTTGTTTGTGCTGCCGCTTCCGCGGACCCGGGATTTTCACTCAGTTTGGTCCATTCTTGTTCAAGGTCCTGAAAGATTGCCAAAAAGATCACGTTTTTTTTTTTTTTTAAATCTCAAGACCGCAAGGTGAGCCACCAGATGAAGTACATCGATGCAAGCTTCCATCTCTTCCACGAGTTGGTGAAGCGTACAGACTCCCTGGTCGCCGGCGACGTCAGGCGTCATCCCCGCTTGGCGCTTGGGGAAGCCGGGGTGAAGTCCTGCGAGTTTGTGTTCGACTGGAGACTTTCTTGGTGGTTGGAAGGGGGCCCTTCCATGTGAATTCCGGATGTCCTCTTAATAGTTATTTTACAATCATACGTGCATGCATATGTCTGTATCTGAAAGTGGTGAACCTGGGTATCAACCAGAGGTTGTAGCTTCAAATTTGCCAAGGGAGCCAGGGCTTAAGGAACTCCAGGAGTTCTGACAGTAAAGGGCCCAAGAAATCCTCTTTGCCTCTCAAGATGCAGACTGTGACGAAGGCCCCGAAGGCCTTCGGCTTAGAATCCAGGAACTGGCCAATCAACTTGGTCCCTGAGTCGGACCTGCCAAAGATTGAGGACTTCTGGGGTGCCGATTCGCCGCAGGTGGGGCCGGATGGCAGCCTCGGTGGAGACCAAGATGCATGCAAGGGAGGCGCGGCAACGGGCCCGGCCGTCCGGCCGTCGGGGCGGGTTGCCCAGAAAGTCGCCCCACCCAGTTTTGGGGAATGCCCCCAGAGACTGGGCTTGGAGTGTCATAATCGACAGTAGGATGGCGCGACACAGCTGGGCAAATGGTTGCCGGCTGACGACTGGGTGGCAATGTGGAGACTCAGCATCAGTGACACGCGTGTCTCGAAGGCGGCGTGCTTGCTATTTTGACACTGCTCAGTTCGTGCTGGCTATTCCATGCAACCACTGATAAGCCAAAGCTACTTTTTGACAGGGCACCTTAGTGTCCAGATGTGGGCAGTGCCCTGGCAGGCTTTGGCAGGCCTTTGCTGTTGCCCTGGCAGGCCTTGGTCAACAGCTCGGACGTGTCTGCGGAGGTGGAGGCTTGGGAGGAGGTGATGAATGGCATCTAGGCGAATGCAATTGGGCTCGCCCGATGCACCCTTGCCCAGTGGGATGCTACTACTAGACACTTCCTGAGTTGGCACAATTGGCCTTCTAAAGCCCGTTTACACAGAGTGCTTGGTTGGAGACACCACGGAATATGTTTTGCAATCCTCCCGCCTCCCTGTTTTCTCCCCCGCTGTTCCCAACAACCAAATTGACGAGTGCTGCCAGGGCCACTTGAAGGTACTGATCAGATTTGGACGGAGAAGTTCAGCAAAATGCACTCGCCAAGCAGAACCAAGCCAAAACAAGTCAGCACACCAATTTAAGCCAACTAAGCAACCAGCGAGCAAAGCAATCAAAAACAACACATAAATGGACACTAGCGCGCAATCATGCCTGCCTGCAAGCACGCTTAAGCCGTGCCCTGCACCGAATCCTGGTGCCTAGGCATGGTTGCCACCATGAAGACCCGGTGCTGCTTGGAGAGCTTGTGGGGAGGGTCCCGTTGGGAGCCGTGAGCTGCGATGATGGGCTGATTTCGCATTCTTCTTCTTTTCTTCGTAAAGTAGGTGCTCCTCTCATGATTGCGACATTTACAGATCCAACCTGTCCGCAATTGAAGGGGTACACCGGAACCTCCAGAAGGGGCCCCCCCTTAAAGGAGATTCCTTTGTAGCTGTTGTTTGGTTCTGACCTGCAGTTTGCCAAGCGGCTGAGCATGTGGCAAAGATTGTCTCTTCTATGGTAGCCGCAGAATCATGATAAGACAGGGACGAAATTTGTTCTTGCGCATCTGTCAGTCCTGGAGGCCGATATTATTGACATGTGGTGCTTTCTACCCAGAGGCTTGTGTTTTGAAAAAACTGTGAACTAACTAGCGTTCTCCCCCACTTGTCTCATAGAGCGTGCTGTTTGTGGCGCCGGGGGTGGGGGTGGCGCATTGGTGATTCAAAGGTCAGCCCAGGGGAGCTTATAAGCTTTGATACGTGCCTCCAGTTCAATAGTTTCAGGCGTGTGGTAGGTTTGATTTCTGGCTTCGCCGACGGATTTGTTGAGACCCTTTTTGGGACCCTTAAAAGGGACAAAATGCCCCGGACCAAAAAGGGGTCCTGTAAATTGACAACTCCGCCGTGTCATTCCATATGGGTGTGCCTATTCCTGTTGGTTTCCCTTTTGGTCTTGAAAGGGAAACCACCAGGAACACGTCAGCATTTTGAGCATAGGAAGCGAATGCCAAGGCCTGAAGCTCTTGGTGCGGCTTTGGCTCTGCTGCTTCCTGGGCTCTCGGAAGATTGAGTCCTACTTCCACAAGAAGGGCTGGCTGGACGGGCAAAGCGGCATTTCGTTTTTGGGGCCGGTGGCCCTGCCAGAGGCTGCAGGTCAGTCAGGTTCGCCAATGTGGTCGTCGCTGCCACGCTGGCTTTCGGGTTGGCTGGCGTAGCTGTCATTGCCATCTCGGCCGCCGTTTTGGTTGCTGTTGCTGTTGCGGCTGTGGTGCTCGTGTTGCCGGCGCACGGAGCTGCCAAAGGAGATCTTGCCCCTCCGAACCCTTGAAGGGCTCCAGGCAGTTTTCTCGAGGCACGGGCTGTGGAAAACAGTTCTTTGGCATTGGCCCAAGGGTTCTCGCTCACAGTTTCCTGATGTGTTCCAAGCCGAGGTTCAAGTCGCGTGAGTCGGCCAGGACGTGTTGAACACGCTGAACGGCTTCGGCCTTGGTGCCTCAGATGTCTTCGTGAAGCTGGTCAGCCCCTTGGCCCATTTGTTGTGCAGATCCCTCGAATGCAACAAGCAGGTTCCCCCCCCCGTGTGAATACGTGACGTGTGCTTGAGAGGTTGCTGCCGACGCGAGGACGCACAATAACACCAATACAGCTTTGCAAGTTTTAGACCATCTTGACGGTCATGCTGTTCAGCGATCAAGGTTATTCCGTCCGGCGCACTCGAAACCTGCCCTGGGAAGGTGATGCGCTGCATAATTCGCAGACGTCGGGGAAGGCTTTCTATTCAAGGCATTTTATGAGACGGCATCGCCAGTGCGCGCGCGTGTATGTGTCCTGTCTGTGTGTGTGTGTGCTGCCTGTAGGCTGGGTGTGTGTGTGTGTGCCGCGTGCGTGCTGCGTGCGTGCTGCGTGTGTGCTGCGTGTATTCTGCGTGTTTGCAAGATATAATGTGGAGAGCCACTGCCTAAGGCAACAACGCGGAGCTCGCCAGGACTGGGGCAGGAAGAGACTTGATTGGTCCAGGGCGTTCTGCAGAACAACCTGTGCACTCTTTGTGGATATCTTCCTTTTGACCCGTCCTTTGGGTCAAGAGTGTTCTCACTCCTGGTCCCCCTGTCCAGTTGCCATATCAAACGTATCGTTTTTGAAAAGATGTTCGGGGTCAGAGTGAAGGAGCGCACGCCACACGTGCGGATGTCGTTTCTTAGCAACGACAAGCCTTGCGCCACATCTCAGACTTGCCTTTCGATCGGTATGCTTTCAACAGGGAGTTTAATTCACCACAAGCCTTTTGCAAGGACACTTTACCATGTATCGTGTGACGAGAGTTTCGAATGAACCGAGCCCTTCTGGATCCTCACGCCTTCCACACAATCCTCACCGTCCCATTTCACACTGAGCCACAGGACGATTGATCGAGGCACGCTTCTCAAGCTCCTGGATCTCATCCACGAGCTGGGCCCGCTGGACACCTGGTTCTACTTCCTCAAGGCCGGCCGGATCGTAACGCGCAAGGCTTGAACATGCACCTGGCTGGGTTTTTGGGGCAAGCAACGAGCAGGGGACGACCGTTTGCCCGCCGCAACAACCAAATGGAGGTTATCAGCAAGGTGCTGATGGAACCGCTTAGGAGACTATGCAATCTCTTTTGGGTTTCCTTTTCAGGGGTCTCGAACACAGCTCAGTTGGCAATGATCGCTAAAGCAAGTTGTGTCCCGATGCTTTCGAGCCGGTCATGTTGAGCTCAGCATGACGGAAGGAACGCATTGACTGGCAGTAAGCATGGCTTTGGCTTTGATTGAGATGTCCTACTAGAAGAGCCTTGCAGAGCCATTCCGCCTGCGTTGAGCGTGCAAGAGCCAACGGCATAGCTCCACACATTGCCTTCCGCTGGGCAAACATTGATACCTGCAGAGTGCCAGACATCCCCGGCGTGTGAAGGCGGTGTGCGCTCCGTTGCAGACAGCGTTGCCCATCATGCAGCAGACCGTCCTCAGGCAGGATGGTCATGTGGATGAAAGTGCTGGCAGGAAACAGGGGTGGATTTATTTAATCGCATGATGGACATCATCATATTTATTACCCTTGGTGATTAGAACAGTTCTTGAAACCAAGTTTGAATACTGGAAACTGCTGCGCAGAGCGTGGAGCTGGTGAAAACATTTGCCCTCGAGTTTGGGCAGCACGTGCCACATGAAGCAGAGCACTGCCGCGTGCCTTTGCTATGCGGGAGTTGGCTCTTTGTTCTTGCTCAGCCTTGAAGTGTCGAAATCTCGATCATGACATGTCACATGCAAGTCGATCGATGTTCACTACTTGCGGTGCTAGGGGGATGACCGTGGCGCACTCACCAAAATACCATTGATGATGAGGGCTTGCTTACCAAACCCTCATGCCAGCTGGGAACGCTGACTTTGACTCGAGCGTTTCCTCGCCATAGTTGTAAGGAAAAATCCACCGAGATCTCGGAGAGCTCATACGGTCTCCGCGCAGAGATGGCCCTGCCTTCAACAGCCCCTGTCTGCCGCTGGCCAAGTCATCCTCAAAGCCGCCATGGCCCCAACTCACAGACAGCTTCATTGCTCTCGGAAGAATTCCAATTGGCAAGGACCAGGAGCAAAAACCAAGTTTTTCGCCATGGTTGCAGGTTGCAAAAACCCAGCATTCTCAGACTTTAAACCCCTTTTGTTTTTTGCTTCTTCCTTTTGCCGCTCCAGGCCACGCACGTGGTGCACAAAATGTGTTTGTTCAAGGCAGGGCTCCAATCCAAAATGGTTCCGTTCTATTCCCCTCCGACCAACTGCAAGCACCTTTTGATCCAAGGGCGCTTCGGGAAGCGCCAGGTGCCTGGTCTTCGGCGGCCAGCGCACGCCGGTCGAGGAAGCGCGGGTGGCGGAGCGGAACCGGCACGAGGGCCCAGACGTGGGTTGATTTCCCACTTACGCGGATGGTATATGTATATATATACATACATGTATACATATATATATATATAGATGTTTATATATGTATATAATCATGATGGGATGATTGGGGCACAGAAAGGTCACTTTGGGCATGCTTCATGACTGTGATGGCGAAAGGGTGGGGCATAGATGGAGAAACCATGGTTGCACGTGCGACACTGGGTGCTAAACAGCAATAATTGTTGAAGGACAGCAGGAGGGGATGGATCGTTTTTTAGTTTTTCCTGACCGCTTTGATTAAAAAGGTTGTTCAAGGTCATTCCCCTCCTTATGCCAGACGGTCGCGCTTTTCCTCCCTGCAGTGCCGCACAAGTCATTAGGAATTGCAGATTAGGATTGGTGATGTGCCCTTTTTGAGCAGCCCCATGAACAACAAGGTGTTTTCCAAGAAGACTCAACCGCTCTGAGGTGTTGCTTGGCCGTACTCTTGCACAGGGCCCCCCAAAAAACAACAAACACTCAGCAGGCGGGGGGCGGATTGGGCGTGTCACTTCCCAGGCGCGAGCTGCTGATCTCCGTGGCGCTGGGCAGGGCGCTGGCGATGCCGCTGGGCCAGCTGCCGCTGCACATCGTGCCGCTGGAAAAGGCGCAGCAGCCGCCCCCCCCCTCCCCCCCGTGTTTGTTTTTGGGACCCATTGATCACCATGCAACACCATTTTGGCTCAAGGCCTTTCATGTCACACATCAGATGTACATAGCTCACTGAGCCATTGCATCCGTGATACAAAGGTGCTACAGCGGACCACTTTCAGGGTAAACCACAGCACACAGTCAACCAGGGCTAATCCAGTATCCACCCATCAGTATTCACTTGGATTCTCCGGAATAGATCCAGGGAACTACCAAATAAAGATCCTCTACTACCACAAGGTATCGGTTCCCTTCAGGGATAAGATGCCCCAGGCAGCGGGCCTCAATTGTGGTAGCGGAGCAGGTTTTCCGCAGAGATCCAAACAAGATGTCATCCGATGGAGAATGTAGGCCGATCATCCGGCTTCAATGAAGAGACGCTCAATTGTCGATGATCGCCAAGCAGCCGCCGTCGTACGACACAAAAGTCACCTAACTTAGATATGAAGAACTCGTAGATGATTGGGTGACCTTCACCACCATCGAAGCATCCAAGAGAGGACCACTCCTCAAGAGACTCATCGGAGACGTTCACATGTGGCAGTCCTCCAGAATGACCTGTTGCAAGATCCTGAAGAAGGAGTCAACTATTTCAAGAACACGCTGAAGAAGTTCTTCCTGAAGGGCTCGACGAACGTGTACTTATACAGATTCTCAGTTTCTTCAATCACAGAAGGCAGGACACCGAGTTCCTCATATTCACATCAAAATTTGGAGTTCTCTTAATGAGATTGAAGGCAGCCTGCGCACGGCACAGTCACCAGAGTTCATAGCAGCGAAACACGATGCCAATGCAAGAAGAATGGCCGCGCATCAGCAAGCAGCCGGTGTCAGAGCCACGCCTCCAGATCTGCTGTCCACAGACAATCCGGAAGTACTCAGGCAGTACCTCAACGGCATGCAGACAAGGACGCATTTCCCCTCAGCGACCATCTCATTGCACCATTTTTGATCATCCAGAGTGAGTTGTCAGATCAGCAGAGAGAAAGACTGATCAGTGCAATGTCTTTGAGAAACATCTCGCTCGAGAATTATGATGAAGACACAGCTTCATGATCTCTTCATTACGACCAGAACATCCATCCAAGATCCAGCCATCCAACCTCCTGGAAAAAATCGGAGTTATACCTTCTACATCCTAGAGCAAGGTGAGTGAAGGTGAAGAAGGTTTCTGGGTGGAAGATGAAGAAGGACTGGAAGGATTCATGGCAACCAATGATGAAGAGGTCTGGGCGAAATTTCAGATTGAAGAAGAGAAAAGGAAAAGGAAAATCAGGGAGCAAAAAGGGGCAGTCACCAACAAGGTGGCTTCAAACCCTTTCGAAAAAGGACTTCCGGCAGGAAGTCCAATATGGCCACCGAAAGTCAGGATCCCTACGACTAGGCATATTGGGGAAAAGGCAAAGGAAAGAAATGGAAGAAAGGAAAATCAAAATTTCAGTACCTCTATCCTATGACAGTGGCAAAGGAAAAGGCGGACGGACATGACAAAGGACAACCTAAAACGTTCGCAGCCACGGCAGAGAATTTGGAGGAGTCCGCCAATCAGCAGATTGCACCATCCACAGAGCCTACATATGCCTTGGACAGACCAAGATTGGGATCCATCATGGAATTGGAGTGAATCAGGCTGGTAAGTACTCATCTTATGAGACCTCCAGCACAGGACAAGCACTAATGGCATTCCATGACGCATTTCAGCAGGATGGGAAGGAAGCGATCCACGAGAAGCTGATCCAAGACGATACTGTTTCAGAGCACAATTTGTCCGTCGCGACAAAGCAGAGCCTTTTGGCGACAAAGCTGATGGCGCCCGTCATCAACCCTCAGCGCAATCCGACCTATGCGATCCTGGAGAACGGATGTACCATGATCCAGCGTTTTGCTCAGGCCCTCGAACCCGAGACCAAGTTCACATTTGCCAATGGAGAGACGGCTAAGGTCAATTGGACCTTGCATCTTGAATATCACACGACTACCCAGTGCCAACATCGACATCCTTGAACAAGGCACTGTACCGATCCTCCTCAGCATCAACCAGATGCGGAACCTCTACATGACCATTGAGCACACACCTCAATGTGACAAAATCACATGCAAGGCTCTTGGCATGGATCGCCAAGCAGTCCCAGTATCCGGTACAGGACATGCGCTAGTCGATCTTGCTGGAGTGGCAAGAGTAAAATTACATGGAGAGATTGCTGCAAGAGAACAAAGCAATGATCAACCGGTGGATAGGTAAGACCGTTTTCACCTTCGCAGACAATCCGCTAAAAGATGAAGAATCAGGTTCAGGATCTGCAGCAGACAGGATCATCGACAAGAAAGGCCGGTCGACCATTGAGCCAGATCCTACTGCACCAGCCGCAGATGAACCAACATCGTTACCGCTTGCCTTAGGCAGAATCCACCAGCGATTGTCAAAGCCCGAAGAGATGCTGAAGCTCCACCTTCAGCATCATCACCTGACTACCGACCAATTTCGATTCAGAACCCGCGCGCTTCACTTGCCAAAATCTACCTACGACTTATTTGACAAAACCCAAAGTGAGTGCAAAGTTTGCCAAGCAGCAAAGCAAGCACCACCAAGAAGCAAGACGAGTGGACTTCGAGCGGACACATTCGGAGATGACGTTCATTGATCATTGCCAGGTTCCTCTCGGAACCGGAGAACACATCATTTTTTGGTCATCCTGGATGGAGCAACGACATTGCTTATGGCAGTGACAACCACGCAGGAAGTGGAGAACATCGCTGTCCTCAAAAACTATTTTGACCAATACCACTTGCAGCCCAAATCAGTTGTTGGAGATCAAGCCTGCATGATGGAAACGTGGGACATTTCTACCAATCCCTCAACATCACACCAATATCGTTGGGACCGAATACACCATGGCCGAATCGAGCTGAAGCAGCAGTTCGGCTCCTGAAGGCACAGTTGAAGATCATGCTCAACTCCATCAAGGCAGGCGCAGCACCTGCAACACTGAAGAAGGTGACATACTGACAACTTGCGAAGGCAGCTGCAACTGTCAGAAACCAGACCATCATCTACGGGGGTGTAATAGCTTTGGAACTCGCATTCGGACGACGACCAGCAGATCTCATCCAGCTTGATGTCGCAACTCCAACTCAATTGACGATTGACAGGAAGGAGGAAGAGCTGCAGTTGTCAAAGCAGGCATTCCAAGAAGCTCGTCGAACCGAAGACATCCGCAGAGACCTTGCTCAGAATTTCCGAATGAGTTCAAGACCTCTACAGGTGAATGGCAAGGTATTTTACTGGCAGGAAGACAAATCCAAGATTCGTTCCGACGGAAGCAAAGGAGGAATATGGTTAAAAGGAAAAGTCATTTCTTTGGAAGGAGCAATGGTTGGACTTGACCTTGGAAGTCGACACATCAAAGTCAACGTGACAAAGGTCAGGAAGGATGAGACCATCCCTCCGAAAAAGCCCGGAATTGATCTTTTGTTGCCAGATGAGCAAGAATCCTTGCAGAGAGAGCAAGGCGGATCCTCATCCGATTCCAAGAAGAAGGTGTCATTCACACCAACTCCTAAGCCATTACGCATTGCTGGAAACCCAAGCCTGCAGCACCAAGACCTGCAGAGAACAAGACATGACATCCATTCCTGAACAGCCACACTCAAATTGTGTACGTAAAGGGAAGATCCACGTTCTCGACATTTGTGCAGGAAGTGCCAGATTCAGTCAATGCTGTGCACTCACAGGTCTAAAGGTTGGGACACCAGTCAACATCCATTTGACGTAATGACATCCAAGGGACGACACATGGTCACGGAGTTCATCAAGGAGCAAGCGCCCGATCTCATGGCACCAGTCTGTGGACCATGGTCAAATATGCAGAGCATCCAACAAGACCAACAGAAGGCCTGGGAGAAGCGAAAGCGCTACATCCCGATGGTTGAATTCGTGGCATCCATTGCGCGATATCAGTTGAAGCGCAGAAGATATTTTCTCATTGAAAATCCTAAGACACACACACAGACACACACACACACAGACACACACACAGACACACACACAGACACACACACACACACAGACACACACACACACACACACAGACACACACACACAGACACACACACACACACAGACACACACACACAGACACACACACACAGACACACACACACAGACACACACACACAGACACACACACACATCCAACTCTTTTTTCAGATCCATCAGTGACCTGGAGAGATTTGCATTTCTGTGCATACGGACTGAGGGATCCTGAATCCGGTCAGAAGCCTCAAGCCCACAAGCTTGATGCATTGCTTACCTCCCGAGGTAATGAGACCGATTTACCGGAAGTGTAGGAATTTTAACAGTTCGGTGAAACACCAGCATCAACCCCTAGAAGGAAATGCTGGCACTTTCGGAAGCAGGACAAAGCTGGCACAGATTTACCCTTACCAGTTCTGCCAGGATCTCGCGCACATCATCCTGCGTCACCTGAAGGTGAAACCGCTTGATAACGAAATGTACCTTCTTGAGGACATCTTCGAGCAGTTCACCACTCCACAGATTGACCTTCCTCAGGAAAGAAATGGAAGCCATTGACTAGCAGCAGCCACGCTGTTAAGATCCAAGACCTTCCCTTCAATACGAATGTTCAACCACTGGTCATCCAACATTCGCTAGTCCAAAAGTTTCAGAAGACCAGAAGCAGTACCCTCCAGGAACTGAAATCGACATTTTTCGACAGGATCCAAACGGCTGGCGATGTCAGAGAATGTGGAATGGTTGCAAGAAGTGAAGACAACTTTGCATCTCATCCACTCAGTACGATGCACACATCGCATGCCTCAACGAAGCGGACGCATTTCTCGATCCCCAAGACGAAAAATGCAAGGAACTCATCCGTTTGTTTATCCTCACAGGATACAAGGGCATCGTGATCAAATCCTGGTCTGCAAGACGCATCG